AAAAAGCTCAGCTAACCTGCTTCTTTTCATGCCGGTAATGTCTTCTTCTTCCTAGGTCAGGACTGCTCTTTCAACATGGATCATTTCTTGTGATTTAAACAGGACAAAACCACCAATTACTGCTATCAACAACCATATACAAAGTACTGAGTGTCTGCAGGGAGTCAAACTGTTCACATAGCTTGGTATTTATTTCATACTGATTCATGAATGAAGGTAATAGATAAAAATATAAACCAGAACTTGATGATGCAATCTGCTGTCCTACTGTCTCCCTATTTTCAAGGTGGCAGACTGGAACTTTGCCAAAGCCAAAAAGCGGGAGAGGGAAAACTATCTCCCGGCTGGCCTTCATCATTTTTAGTGAGCATTGACTACACAGACTCATTTAGCCAATGTCAAGAAATAAATGGCTGCAACCCAATTCTGTCATATACCTGTAGTGCTTTATGATAATTGCCAACTTCCCAAACCTCCTGTACTGGTAGTATCAATCCAAATTCTTAGGATCAGCAGAGAGGATGAGAGTGCTATAGCTTTTTTTTTTTTTAACTGATACTTGATTTCTGCACATAATATTGGCATTGAAGAAATGTGTGCTTGTAAACTAGTGCTACCTTGATCTCAGCTCTCTTTGGCAGTTATTTAACTTGTTACCCCATCTTTGTTTGTAATCGCCCAATGTGTTTTCTCCTCAGTCCCATGTGCTCCAACAGAGGCACTTCTCCCCCCCATGAGTAAGCAGTACTTCACCTGCTGCACTTTCAATATTTACCTCATCAGCATCTGCCAAAGTAAACCCGCACTATCATAGTTCACACTAATTATGTGTGCTCTGCTCTGCATGTTAGTTTATGGTTGCTCATTTTTCTTTCTTTTTTTTTTTACGATCCTGCAACATCAATGCTCTTCATTCAATAAGCCCGTGTTACAAACTAAACAGTGATAATATCTGGGCAAATCTGTCTAATACAGAGTAAACAGATGGATTGGTGTGATTTACTTACAGAAACCACAGAAACTCTGAAGCACTGATGCTGTGTTTGAATGCATAAATGCTAATGCTAGACTCTAGGTTTAGATGTAAATAATGATGTCAGACACAGGCTTATGGTTTTCTTTGGTTTTCTTATTTTTGATGATTTCTCATAAGACTAAGGAAAAACTTTTTTCTTCTTGTTTCTGTTTCCACTAAAACAAAAACCTTGCAATTATTAGCTTTGTTGAGGTTGAATCTCCATTTATAGCATTACTTCATGTATCTGATGGCTGCATCTTATTTTCATTATTATTCTTAAAATTTACAGCAATTTGAAAATGAATTACACATAGGAAAATGAAAAGGATTTCCATTTATTGTAAATAACTACTTGTGGTCCACCTGCAGTTTTTTCATAGCCCACCAGTGAGCTGTGACCCATGCTTTGGGAGTAGTTGGTCAAGCACATGATGACTCATCAGTGTAAAAAGGATATGATGTTACAGCTTCTACAACACCACTGCATTAGAGAAACAGTGCATATATTAGCAACAACCACTGTTTGGCGAGTAAACCATTAGCGCCATTATTAAAAAGAGAGTTACTGTACTTCTTTCAAAGTTTTCACACAAACCTCGCTCACTCTGCATCATCAGAGGCAGAGGTGATTATCAGGGTGCCACAGCCGCACACCACACATATTCATCATTTTAAGGAGATAATTGGGTGTGAAAACCATGGAGACGGGGATAACAAATGAACCACAGACCGGAATTGCGTTCATAACTTGTTTTGTAACCTTTGCTGGATACAAATAAATCTAACAAGTTGCAAATTAAGTGATGTATTTTGTGCTATCTATGTCTACACAAGGCCATGCTTACAAAACACCATAGATTAGTGTATTACATGTTTCACTAATGTACTGTATGGTTACATTTAATGATTATTTACTTGAGCCCATTGCAATGTTGTTACCCAATATTAGGAATAATCTAAGAAAAAGTTGCAATTCCTTGTGTAGAAGAGTTTTACATTTCTGTTTAAATTCCTGAAGGTTCTGTGACTTCTTCTAAGTGCAAAGGCATGTCAATACCAATACTGCAGCTGAGTGTCAACAAATAAACAACATACAAATAGGAGGTTTTACATTTTCTTGCTAAGTGCTGCCTATGACAGAGATGGAGAAATGGAGAATTCAAAACTCTTGCCAAGTCATTTGTTAACCGCAACCAAATTAAATATGAGAGAAGAGACAATCCCACTTCATTCCAGCCTTGTGTACTTGTTTGTCTGGGGCTTCTTTATCATAATCCACCATAAAAACTCTCCACAGTCCCGAGCAGTGCTTGTTAGAAAATTTGCAGTACACTTGTTGCTTTAACAGAACAGTTATGAAACTGAAAAGTAGCAACTGTCTCTCTATCACGTTCTCTCTGCAACGTGGACATGTTAATGTGCATAATTAACTAATCAGCTTATGCCAGCTCGAAACATTTGGCAGCCTCGTCTGACAGCTTCAGCTCCTCTCTTGAAAACATCTTGAAATTTTCTGGTTTAGTCTCCCTGTGTGTAATTTTATCCCCTGTCAGAACAGAATAGCTTCAACTTGGAAGGTGACCAAAAGGTCCAGCTCTTGGTGATTTTTTTTTTCTTTACTTAAAAGCTTTCTGTCGCAAAATGAAAAGGAATATAATAGCAGCCTTAATATAAAAAATATTAAGGCTGTTGCTAACTTCAGAATGTTAATTGTGCAGTTAGATCAAATGATGATAATAGACGTGATTACTAGGTGGGGAAATGTCTTACTATTTAGGGCTCCACATTGGTTGGTTGATATGCTCTCTCCAGAAAAAAGTCTTACAGGCTTGACAATTGCCTGTGTTACTTTGATAAGGAGGAAGGCGCTAGATCAGTGGCCCTCCAGGTTTCATCAGTTATTTTTGTGTAAAATATATCTATTCAATTTCAGATTCGCCAACCCTACTGTAGAGTGATAGATTAGGTCTAACTTTACAAACATTTACAGCTGCTGAACATTTACTTTGAGCTGTCCTCAAACTAAATGGCTGCATTTCTATTGCAAACAGCAGTTTAACAGCACGGTAATTTGTGCTGCGATGTTCCAGCAACTTTCTCCAGGACTCGCTGTTTCTTTGAGTGTAAATGTGTTAGGTTTGGCATATTTGGGCATATTTGGTCTAAAAACTGTTTTACTTAGCCACGGCTTAGGTACTGCTACAGATATCTCAGCTTTGGGTACTGAGTGGTGATTAGTTATCAGTCTGAACATAGTAAACTGTTCCTGCACTGAGTGCCAGGTGACATCAGGCTTGACAAATGTGCATTTTTTTTTACCTCCCTCCTACCCATTGTCACAGCTGACTGAGCTGGCATGCCAATATCTATTAGAAATGTGTGGGTATTCTGATAAGAAAAAAGGCCTTCCGACGAAATCTGTGCATCATCATGTCTTTTCTGTTGTATACATTAAGCAATCCATATTATATTATGTACCCTGATGCATAAAGAGGGTTTTTCACTGTGTCCAATCTGCAAAAGAACAGTTTTCTTGATTAATAGGAATACTTATTTTATCATTAAGGTTGATTAATTCCATTAGTCTGTGAGGTTTTAAGTCATTCAGTAACGCCACTCTGAATCAATTATTTGCCATGGCAACGAGTAGAAAGAAGACAGTGATTATAGCAGGAGCTTAACAAATGCATATGAGATGATCGCTAAATATTCAAAACAGTCATTACCAACAGCCTCATCAACATACTTTACAGTACAGAACTCTTAAATGTCGACTTTTAAAAGCTGGATATTGTATCTGCTCATGTGCACAGAAATGGTTCTTGGCAATGGAAGCCATTGATTTTCTCACTTCATCTGTATGGCATCTCCTCTTTCCTGCCAGCACAGCATGTAATATGAGACTGCAAGTTTTCTTTTACCCAAAGCAATCAATTTTGCTTAGCCAAACTCCCTAGCATGGACGGAGCCCGCCTAAGTACCTGTCTCCACCGACACACAGCCCTGTGTGCCGTCACCATCTAAAAAAAGCTTTCAGCGTAATAAAAAACATGTCTGAATCAGAACCCAACCAATCTAATAACAGCCAGACCAGTCGGTATGACTACAGAGCGTTAACTGTGTCACTGATGGGGAGGGGGTATGTGCGAGCGAGTCCGCGAGAAAGGCCAAGAAATCAAAGAAATCACTGATCTTCAATTCCCTGATGAGATAATCCACATCACATTTTCTTCTATGCTATCACTTTCACAGCATGATGTAAGATCTGGTTTCGCACTTTAAAAGCAAAAAGCATTTATGACTTTTCTTTTTTGTATGAAAAACAAAAAAAAACAAAAAATCCAATATATGAGGCCATACGTAAGGGAATTCTAAGCCTGACTGAGCCTTATTGATATCTATCTGAAACTCCCTCAGCCACCATCAATCTCACATATTGTTAAACAGCAAGACTGGGAGGTAAACGTTCACTTAGAGACGTGCCTTGTCCCTTTCAGGAGACATGTTTAGCCTTCACTTCTGTAATGAAAACAAATAGATGGGCTGGTTTCATAGAGATAGAAAGCCTTGGACTGCAGCCAGAGATAACAGGGCGCAACTCTTCCAACTGAGGCAGTGTGGGTGTTGGATTCAGAAAGACTGACATGGAAATAAACAGAATTTACAACCTATTACTGACTGTTTCCAAGAAGGATACTGAGAAGCAGCTAACAAAGGTGTTTTTTTTAAGAGATAATTTAATTCTCAACTGGCATGAACAGTGAAGTCCTTCCCTATGAAATATAATTGAATCCATTGGCATGCATTACCATGCACAACCATCAATTATTATGCCAGGGAGGTAAGAGCTAATCCTTCATCAGAGTGAAAGCCAGCTATCTGCAAGAACAGGGGTGTCTGTTGTTCATTTTGCTGCTAATACATTGATTTATCTCTACAGTAGCTGCAACAGATAACAGATTTGGCTCAGATCATATCTCACCTGTAGCCACTGCGACTGGTCGCTATGACCAGCTGTCCAAGCGTTGACCTTGCCCTGCTTGTCTAAACGGGCTTTCCCAGGCTCCCAAGTGAACATGTCCATGTTGAGCGTCCTGAAGATGCTGGAGGCTGTGACCTGATAGTCCTGGATATGGCCTGACTTCATACCCAGTGGTTCAGAACAGCCTGGCAACAACAAAAACAGATTGGCTCTAAACTGTTTTGTTTTTTTTTTTTACATCTAACCCCAGGCCTCCTGAAAAGGGATTCAGTGCTGACACTACTTAAAAACAAGAGGAACAACTGTGCAAGAGTCATACTGGAGTGGATTTCCAAATGATGTATGATTTATTTATGATAATGATGGTGATTAGTGTATTCAGTTGGATAAAGAAAGCTCACTCACCTGTTAGCTCACAACCGAGCAGCTCCATGCGTAAAGTACAGTGCCTCCTGCAGACTTGGGGGTAAATGCGCACGTACTGGGCTTCAATGGGAGGGGTGAAGGAGTTGGCTGATGGAGCGTTGTTATCGACATTTCCTCTGAAAATCTGTTGCAAGGGATGAAATAACAGCAGATGGGGGGCGGGGGAGGATGGTGAAGCAGATCAGTTTTCAATAATGTGGCAGTCTATCCGCCGCTGTCTCTAGTGTCTACTCCACGCTCAACAAATTGCTGTCATTCAAGGTCAATGAGCTAGAATTACAGGGAAAAATAGACAATTTGTCGCACCATTTGAGCCAGTAATTCATAAGGACAGTGGTGTGTTTTAAATTAGTGCTCCAATTATATCACGTTACCTTCTGGAGTGTTTCATCCAAATCGCTGAAGATAGCCTGACAGAAACTATATGATTGGAGCGAAAGATGTACAAACAAACACAGACATGTCATAGCCGTGTCTAGCTTTGACTGAGCAAAACAAAAGAGCTCTAAATGAAAAATATCAAAGTCCAGAGCATACAAATTTGACAACATATCTGATAATAAGTTTGGAGGTCTGGTTGTTTCGGAGCTTGGCCAAAGAGAGGACAGTCGTGGCTTGCTGTCAGGAATGATAGAATGCTCTGTGGCCTATTTGGTGGCTGTTCATCCCCAAATAGTATAAAAATTCAATCTAGAAGTCATAAAAGTGGAGGGGGGTAAGGGGCAGCAGGATGGGCCCGGTGTGCGCTAGCTAATTAAAAAGCCATCTCATCATGTCCTCCACCCTGTCCTTGACTGAGTGCACAGTCTCTAGTCGATGTGTGCGCATGTATGAGTGTGTATTTCGTCTGTCTACCACAGAACAAGAAGCAATGGGTGACGATGGATGCGTACACCTATGTCTGTGCGCCCGTACAAGTGTCTCACCATATCGTCATCTTTGCCCTTGACTTTGTATGTTCTCCAGGTCTTCCCGTCATCACTGTAGGCTACTTTGTAAGACTTGACGTACTCTGGGCTGCCGATACGCTTTGCACCCTGGGTAATTAGGCCCGTGACCCTCATTCTCCTCTGCAGGTTTATCTGTGGAGTAGAAAAAAATACAGATAGGCTGAAGATGAAATTCTAGCTTTATTTTCAGACACTGTATATAGAGGTGTAAGTGTCTGTGAGCATGCATGTCATCGAGTTCAGTTCACCCCCTTGTATCTTTTCTGTCAGGGCCATCCATCTTATTCTAAAAGTCTGTGTCCAAATAGAACATTTAATCAATTGTACACCCCATATCCAGTCTGCCCACACTGTGCAAACTGTCAATATGGTGCCAGTGTAATGCAGCTTGGTGAGCCAAGAGGAAAAAGAGGCACTAAGAAAGAGGAAAATGACGAATGGCTTCCATAGATCCTACTCAGCACCCACAAACCAGATTCATTACATACAGACCAATATCTTCAGTAGCTTTCCCTGACAGCTCATTTTGATAAAGTATATGCTCACTGGCCATTTCATTACGTACACCTTGCTAGCATAACGTTGAATCCCGTTTTGCGTTCAGAACTGTCTTAATTATTTGTGGCAATGATTCAGCAAGGTGTTGGAAGCATTCCTCTAAGGTTGTGGTCCATATTAACATCCTTATTTGGTCTGGCATCTGTACAGTGAACTCCTTGTTCTTTTCAAGAAACCAATCTGATATGATGTGAGCTTTGTGAAATGGTGAGTTAACCTGCTAGAAGCAGCCATCAGAAGACACGTAAACTGCGGTCATAAAGAGATCAACATGGTCAGCAACACTACTCAGATAGGCTGTAGCATTTAAACAAAGCTCAACTGGTAGTATCAGTGCCAAAATGGGCCAAGAAAATATCCCCGCCATCATTGCACTGTTGATAGAAGACAGGATGGGTCCATGCTTTCGTGTTTACTCCACATTCTGACCCCATCATAGGAGAAATTGAGACTCATCAGACCACACAGTGTTTCTGCAATCTTCTCTTGTTCAATGCAGGTGAGTTCATGTGAATGGTTGTCACAGTCTCATAGCTGACACCCGGCGTGGTCTTCTTCTGCTGTTTCCCGTCTGCTTCAAGATGTTTTCCTGCATATTTTGGATGTAATGAATGGTTATCTGAGTTACTGTTGCCTTCCTGTCAGGTTGAAGCAGTCTGGCCATTCTCCTGACTTCTGCCATCAACATAGCATTTTCAACCAGAGAAATGCTGCTCACTGGATATTTTCTCTTTATGTGGACCCAGTAAATCAGCAGTTTCTGAAATACCTGTCTGGCACCAACAACCACATTACAGTCAAAGTCACTCAGATCACCTTTCTTACCCTTTCTGATTCTCTGTTTAAACTGCAGGAACTCCTCCTGACCATGTCTAGATGGCTAAATGCTCTGAGTTACTTCCATCTAGGGCTGTTCGATATAACGATATATATCGATGACAATATAAAAACGTCTATCGTTTCATTTTATGCTTTCGTTTGTTTCGTGGTGTCACAAAATAAACTGTTTACGGCAATATTTTTTCATTATTTTGATGGTCACTGTAATGGGTATATTAATTTCTTAAAGTTCTCTCTTTCTCTTATATTTGATATAACCACACTACAGATAGACAAGCGTTTGTTTTTATGCGTTGTCGTTAGCAACAACGACGGTAAAACCACCGCGTGTCCGCTTGTTCCACATAAACCTTTCACAATAAAGCTCAAGATCCTGTTGAGACATTTCAAAATAAACTAAATCACGTGAA